GGGTTATGGTTGGGGGGGTCTCGGTTTTTTTTACTGGTCAGTCAGTCAGCGTGTGCATAATTGCTGAGCCATGCATCCTCAGTGGCTATGTGCAGTTCCTGGAGTCCACCACTGAACTTAGTCAGCAGGCAGTCATCAACAATATGCAACATTGTGGGAGTTTTGCCACAGCTAGTGTTATTTTTACTGGTGGGCTGCAATGATACAGTAAAGATTTTAATTTAACATGATGTGAGAATTATACGTAACAGTCAACATGCAAGAGTGGAGGGTGCATAAAACAGTAAAATAAAAACAGGCTATCAGCTCATTTATTCTAAAGACTGATTTCACAAAACTGGCACATTCAGGGTTTGCTGCCTGCCCTTAATTTGTGTGTCACTGATTTGGCTGGGATCTAAACACAGAGCTTCACAGTTATTGAACCACTGTCCCAGACCCAGCCAAGGGCTGGAACACAAAGCAGGACTGAAAAAAACAGCAGGCAGACTGCAAAGGAAAACCAATTGTTCTGCTTAGCAGCAGCACTGTTTCTGCTATGCTTAGCATCAGAACAAGTTAATTTGGGAGCACAATCTTCTTAAAAGGAAATGTTGCTCAGCACAGCATCCTCAGGTTTCATGCAGTGAGCTGCCCTTTTCACCAAGTATAAACTGTGAATGCTGCTTGAAGTTTATTTTTATACTACTGTATTAAAATCTGAGTTCCCAAATCTCTCACTGGCATCTCACTGAAAACTAACATTATGCTTGACTTTCATCAGTAGTTCATAATGGAAATTTCCATCTTGACTTAATGCTGTATTAGCTTAATGAGCAGAGGAAGAACTTTACTGTTTAAAGACGAAACGTTCCATTGAAATATCAAATAGTAAAGCTAAAACTTTCTTCTCGCTGCCCTTAACCTAAAGGTGCTGCTCTCAACTGCTCATTCACAAAAGTAAAAATAGATCATTGCCATTAAAAGAATGTATTGCAATAAAAAACAAACACAGCCTCAGCTAATAGAAACTTGTGGAAGCTCAATTTGTGGATTTACAGTGTCTGAGGATCTGGCCAAAATGTTTAAACAGTATACTGAAATGTGACAGTAACCATACAGGAAGACATGCAGAACTCATAGGCCCCAACCCTCAACTGTACTGAGATCACTTTGCAGTGGGTCATACTTCAAAGTAACCCTAAAGTTGGATTAGCTGGTTATGGAAGAAGAACCTCTTCAGCGAAAAGGGCTCTGGCATGGAACTAGTATATAGTCCAAATACCCCCATTCTCTCTGAAGAAGGGAACTTCGTGGCCTTTTTTCTCAGTTGTTCTCACAGTTCGCTGGGGCAACTGGCAGCCAAAATAAATCCAAGCAATCTTCCAGCTGCTTTTAACTTATTCTGAGGGACTAGGCCGCAGCACACTGGGCCATGACCACAAAAGGTAGCCCAAGCCATCTTTTCAGACAGTGCTGTGTACTTCTCAGTTGCATGGCCCCTCCATTTACTATTCATGGAGAGTTATTCCAGAACTGGATGACTTCAAATTACACTGACTTCAAATATTTTTGAAAACAAATGCTTGCAACATTTCAGGAAAGAAAACTGAGGAAGGCCTGTGCACATAGCAGGAATCCAGGTAAGCAGCTCAAAAGAACATGTGCTCAAGGATTATAGTGTACACCCCCTACACCCACAGACAGCTGCAGAGGACTATTTACAATCTTGCCCTTGGCTTTTAATCAGACCTTATTCACTGAGCTCAGTATGTGCTGAATAAAGGCCTCAGAATTTGGCCCCAGAATAATTTGTGGGGAAAGGGAATATAGTACAATGGGACAAAAGCAACCCTTCAGCATTCCCTGTTCCAAAGGACTACAATGCTCATCAGTTTGCAAGGGCTGGTAATGCTGAGCACATTACGCTGTATACAGAATTCTACCACGCTTACCCCTATTGTTCAATGCCTTAGCTCCACAAGCAGTCTCACTTCCTTCAGTGAGACTATGTAAGGAGCAAGATATGACTCAGCATGCAAATGGGCATCAGAATCAGGCTCTAACTGAATAACTACCTACCTCTTTTCTCTTCTACCTTGATAGCCTTGAAACATTAAGGCCAAACCTTGGAATAAAAACCCCAGGATATTTACTGGCCTTTAGTGAAAGAGCAACATCCCCTAGCACCAACACTTGGATTCTGTTTCTTTCACATTCTCTTCTTTTGTATGAAGGCAGCTACCTGACTTTGACCCCAGACTGATTGTGAAGCCTGTAAGGGCAGATGGCCGAAGAACTGAACAGACCTAGTTGCTATGTAGTTATTAATACAAATGTAGTATTTTAAAGAAGATATTTTCTTACTCTATATTAATATGTTGAATTTCCAAGCCTTCACAGAACATTTGGTCTGAAGTGACTCTGGACTGGAGTCTGGCATGACTTAAGTAAAGCATGGAAAGAAATAGAAGGCTACAGACAATATCTGAGATTAATATTCATGTAATTCATATGATCCCTTTCATTCACAAAGATATTAAAGTGTTCTTTACACTCGGTGTCTATGTTCAACAGATGCGTCATTAGACAACGTGGAAAAACAAAGGAAATTATAACATTTTAAAGTGAAAATACAGAATGGGAGACAAAACACTATCAGCTTATTTTAGACCTTGCTCTCTGAGCACAGCAGTAAAAGGGTTATCATGCACTGTCATCAAATGCAGTCAGAATAACCCTAAGAGCCATCATGCTCAAATCACAAATGAATTCAAATGGGGGAACCATGCAAAAAAAATGCAGTTGTTAAAGCATAAAAGTATGTCTCCCAATAGCTGGATTCAAGAAGCCTGGTTACATACTGACTTTCTTTCAGAGTCAATCAGATAATAAGACCCCTTTAGCAACACAGAATAGTTAAATTCATCACCATAATTTAATTGTAGAAGGTTATTAAAGAGCACTTCGACTCCCCTCCTGCTTCGGCGCTGCTTTTGTGTATTAAACTCAGACTAATCAAATTGCAGATTCCAAGAGTACTGTATTAGTCATCCCCATCCCTTTTAATTTGTTTAATGGCCTCCTCCTTTTTTTTCCTTTTTTTTTGTGTGTGTGTTCTGACTGGCTGTGCAACGCTTAGGCTCACGACATGTAAATAAAGAATGGATAGGGGAACAGTTCGCCGAAAAGAATAAAGCGTGCCTCCTTTCTAAAGTTACATTTGATGTCAGAGTAATTCATGGGACGTGTACTGCAAGCAATGGTGCTTATTATTTCTGCTTAACTGTCTACAGACACGGGGGGTGGGGAGGAAGAAAGAAAAGAAAAGAAGTCTGAATTTACACTTACCGCTTCAAAAGCCCTTTTGTACTTAGCCAACTTCTCCTGGCTGAAGATGCAGTATTTTGCCAAAAAGTCGACTGCAAGAGAGGACAAAAAAAGGATAAAATAGCTCATAAAAGAACTCTTTTCCCCCCTTTTTCTGTAGCATTTTTAGGAAAAAAAATTAATATAGGGACACTATTTTTAAAGGCACAATAATGCTGACCTCCTAGTAACTGCAGAATCATCTTCCTAGTGGAAATTTCCGTTTGCTATTTCTTTATTTGTTTTTGTGAAAATGTCTTTTCACCTGGCCTAGGGCACATACTCAGAGGCAGCTCTGAAGAGGACATATTTAACATGTATAACACATAGGAGCTCCATCCTGGTGAGGCTACAGTCTGGGAGCATGTTGAGACTTTGTTGTTTGTTTTTAACTGTCTAAAATTAGTATCCTCATACTTCGGTTACATAAAGCAAAGGTCTACCAGATACTTTCAAAATCTCAAAGATACTCCAAACCTGTTGTGTTTTGTTTCATTGTCCAGGACAGAAATACAAATGAGACAAAGATTTCAAGAAATATATATGACATAAAAAATTGCAATTATTTTGCTATTTTTCATTCAGCTGAAATCAGGTAGGAAATACTGGTCCAAAATTATCCGGGCTTCTGATTTTTTCTTGCTGAGATTCTGTCATTGCCTGTGTCCTGGCCTATGGTTTCAGGACCAAGAGGGGACTGAGTTGTAGGGTTGTATGAAGATGGTCTGGTGTCCTCACACTTAATGGAGCACATTAGGATAAGGACAAAGGAGAGAATTTTTTGGCATGCTCCAAGCAGAGATCTGAGCTTGGAAGCAGTGGAATCAGTAGGTACCATCCATGGTACAGAATAAGCAGCTACTGCATTCAGACTCTTCAAGCCAGCTATTCTTTCTTTCTTTGAGCTTTTTTCTGAAAGTCTCTAAGTCATTGTTTCCATAATTGCATCATATTTTTCTTCTTCTAACGAAACAGCTAGATATTATTTTCAGTTCAGGGGAAGTGCTGGCAACTCAGGCCCTGCTGGGAAAAAGTACCAGACCTTAGTTCCTATGATTTCCTGCTCATTCAGAGTGAGAACAAGTAAGCAGGGCTATTTAGTTTGTGAATGAGTCCAGAGAACCCAGGAAGAATTTCTGAAATATTAACATTTTAAAAAAAAAATTGGAAAGAGTGTGAGCAGTGAAACAACACAGTGCTCTGTCTGTTGCCTGAAACATATCAACTGGCTTTCTTTCAGAAAGAATACATTTGCCTTCAGGATGCATTTTGGAGGTACATTGGAAGAAAGGTTACTATTTATCTGCAAGTTTCATTGTTCAGCTGGGTCTACATCCCAAAAGGAGTCAAAGGAGTAATAACTCTGTCACAGTAGTTCATTCTCCACACACCAAATAAACAATATCTGGGTGAGGAAAATAAAAAGTTCCATAGATTTCTACCACAGCACAGCAAAGGACATGTTTTTAAGTAGCTAAATGTAATAATTTAACAGTTGCTCCTACATCTGTTATCACTGCATAATGTGTACCTGCATTGCAACCAAACTATGTTATCTAGAGATGATGAGAAAATCAGAGCATTTTGACACTGGATTGTGCTTACTTTGTATGTATCTATCCTACACCACATGGCTCTACACCTTCAAAAGATTCCAGTCAGAGAGAAGCCACTTTCCTGGTAAAACATTCAACTTCTATAAAAGAAATGCACCACCACTGATAATTAGCATTTATACAAGATCTAACTACCTATATTTTCACGATGAGGTTTTCAAAAGTCCATGTGAATACTGGACTTGTGAATACTGAAGTAAATCTCAACAGTTTTAGAAAATCCCACCCTCGATAAATACAGTTCATAAGACTATCTGTATTGGCGCCACCTGGTGATTCCCACTTGTATAAAGCTGCTCTTATAAAAGGCAATTTACCAAGTTAACTGCTAAACTGGATAGCTAACTACCTCTGTCTACCAGGTTTACTGCAAATAAAGTCTTGAAAGAATTTCAGAACATCATTAGTTCACTTCAAAGTACATTATTCAAATATTAACTTCATAATTGATTCTTTTCAATTCCCTCCCAAAGAATAACATTGACTGAAGCAGATTTTAAGAGAATTTATTTAACTGTATTTTAAAGCCAGAGGAGATAAGTGTATCACATCTGACCAGACTCCTGCACAGATGGGCCAGGGAATTCCACAGTTATACCTGTAATGAGCCCAATAACTTGTGTCTAATATGTATTTTCTAGAAGACCATCAAGTTTTGATTTGAAGGCTCCAATGGTCACTGTTCCAATAGCTAATCATTTTCAGTGTTAAAAAAAAGTGCCCTATTTCTAAATCTGAATTTGTCTGGATACAGCTTTCCACCAGTTGGTTCTTGTTATGTTTTCCTTTGTTAATTTAGCAGCCAGCATTTTCTCCCTGAACAGTTACTTGTATACTGTAATCAAGTCAGCTCTCAATTTGTCCATCTTTGATGAACCAGACAAATACAGCTCTTTAGGCCCACCACAACTTTGTTTTGTCCACAGGGCGAACCTTCACTTGCCTGGAGGTGGTGATGAGTGTCCCCCTGAGGGTTCAGGTGCCACTGCATTGGTTTGACTTTTGTAGGGCTCCTCCTCCCCTACACCCCACTCCTTTCCAATGGGGTGTTGTAATCACCCTGGTGACATCTCAGCTTGATAACATGGTCTTTTCTTCTATGCCAGATGTCCAGTGAGAATTGAGACCATGCAGATCCTGCTGCTGCCTTTTATCTTCAAAATCACAACTAAACACATAAGGTAACTAAAATGGCTCAAACTGGGCTGCCAAGCAGGGCAATAATGCCTCCATGCTGAGCAATCCCTTTCTTGGGCGTGTGTTGCTCTGGTGCCTAGTGCACCCCTCATTCCACCACCATCAAGGCCCCTATGCTTCCTGGCAAGTTGCCCTTCTCACACAAGTTCTTCCTGCCCTAGCGCTAGGCCAGGTATGGAACTGTCTCATGGCAGCCACCACCACACCTGAGAGAGGCTCACTTTCCCAAGAGGCCTCCATCAGGAGGGAGAGAGTCCAGCTGGGTCCCTAATCCTCCAGCAGCAGGGATAGTGTCCAGTGCTTCCCTGGAAATTTTGGTTTCAGGAGGAGCAACCAGACTCCTTCCAGCTGTGAGGTGAGCATCCATTCTTTCCTCAGACACTTCAGCAGCAGGATGACCATCCAATGCTTCTCTGGGTGTGCTGGTGTTGGGGGAAACTGCCAGATCCTTTCTGGCAGCAGAAAGAGCATCCAGACCCATTTCCAGTGTACCAGTATGCACCCCCAGTGCCTCCATCTCCAGGCCTGCTCTTAGCCTGTGTCCCCCAGGTGCTGGGCCAATTGACAAGGCTCTTCTGGTTGACACAGCACTGGCTGGCTTAATTGGAGCCCAGCCACCTGAGCCACATAGCCAAGGTGAGTCAGGCAGGGGCCTGTTTTTTTCATAGCTTCATAGATGTTTGGGTCAGAAGGGACCTTAGCAGATCATCAAGTCCGAACCCAAATTACAATACATTGAGTCTGACCCTGTTACAATAAACATCAGAACTCCATGCAGTGTCTGTCTCATCACTGCTGTACAGAGAGGTAAAATTACCCTCCGTGCCCCTAGTCTCTGACTTACCCTAGGTTACACCTCCACAGAAAACATTAACTTTTATTGTAGCATTACGGAACAACTTTTTAATGAATAGCAATTCCTTGCCTGGAATAGCCATTTTAAAAGAGCCCCAAAGTTTCCAATGCAAATTTGTTTCACCTTTAGTCACCTACTAGATAAAAGTACATTTAAGATTCTATGCTTAGGCCCAGGGGTTATAAAATAGATTCTAAATGGAGATAGGAGACCAAATCTTCAGCTGGTATAAACAAGCTTGACTCCACTGAAGCTGCTCCCATATATACAAGGTAAGGCTCTGGCCTATGAACTTGTAAGCACTTATTCAAATCAGAGGGAACATGAATTAAGTTTATACTTACAGGGAATCAAAAAACATTAAATATGAAAAAACATCTCATAAGGACAAGACAAAGGTGCTGCCTCAGGGCATACCAGAAAAAGGCATTGCAGGGTAGTTAGTCAATAGCTGTAAGAAAAAATCATACAGATTTAGGGGAAAGTAAACACAACTACATGATTGGAGGGCATGTTACTGACCATCACAACTGTAGTGCCCTGAAAGCAACACTGAGAAAAAAGAACTCTCAGGATTTACCATCAGTGTTTTCAGGATTATGCATGTGACAAAAACAACTGGGGGAACAACACCATGATGCTGTAAATGGGAAGTGGACAATTAGAGCTAAAAAGCTGGAAGACGCTGAGCTGAAGTGGAAGCGTGGCTCCAAGGTGTTACACACTGGCAAAGTGCTTAAAGAAAGAAATGAAGAAGATGCAGGAACAAATGCCCATATAATTAGAAACGTACTGAAAGCAAACACAGACTCAGAGGGTAACACGAGATCTAATAAGGGAGGATCTTTCCATCAGCTTCCATATCTACTGTCTACTTCAGGGATGGGCGAACTCCAGCTCATGGGCCGGATTGGACCCATGGTGGACTCCATTCCCCAGCAGCCCCCGCCTCCATCGCTCTGGCTGGTCTCCATGAAGACTCTGGGAGTGGCAGGCCCATAACAGTGCAGGGCCATCATGGTCCCACGCTCCCAGGGTCTCTAGCCTGAGCAGTGCTGGCAGGGTGTATGGCTGAGTGTGGAGATATTCTGGGGCCAGGGCTGGGATCTTGTGGTGGTGATAACAGAGGGCTGGAACCAGGGCTGAGCTGTGATCTGCTGCCTGCATGCCCCTGCAACGAGCACAGGTTCCGCAGGCAGAGACGTGCAGGCAGCGGACTATGGTTCTGCCCCAGCTCTGGCCTGCACTGTCACCTCCGCAAGATCCCAGCCCCAAATGTAGCTCCTCTCCCAGCAGCATGCACTGTCAGCATCACTTGGGCCAGTCTCCATGGAGATCCTAGGAGCATGGGGCCATCACAACCTTGTGCTGTCACAGTTGTGCCACTCCTGGGGTCTCCACGGAGATCGGCCCAAGCTGTGCTGTTCGGACAGGGATTGCTGGGAAATACAGTCCAGCTGCCAACCGGATCTGCCATTTTGCCCACTCCTGGTCTACTCCCTAAGGCCTGCAGGAAGTGAGCACACTTAGAAGCTTACAGGTCTGGCTCAATACTGGGACCAAGAGAGAGCTCAAATGCCAACAGACATGAAAAGCATGTTCCCTTGCCTCCTCAGAATAAGCAAATCAATTCAATTTTATTAGTCTCCCACACTCCATTCTGAAGCTAGGATCTTGTAAAAATATATCAGAAGAATGTGTGGCTACAACTCTCTTCTAAAAGGGCCTCAATTTTAGGTGGTACAGATT